CACGCCTTCCGGCAGTTAAACGTCCTCTGTTCGTTCTTAGTGGTTCGTTTTTTATTCTCGTATCGCCTAGCTGCGCTTTCCTCTTCCCCCCTCCCCCCATCACACGTTTATTCGATTTGCAGTCGAGGAAGGATGGCAACCGTGTCACCTGTTCCCTCGTTAAATCGGTAACGACTAGTTTTAATTCGACACGCCGTCAATCGGTATGTGCATGTATGTCGACGACGCGATACAAAACGAGCCACGTCGATTATCCGATAGAAACGCGCCTTGTTCTACGGTGTCCTATTAGCCAGATTGATTCGTGAAGTTTATCAATTGGAGCGAAAGTCGGTGAATATCATAGTTTTTTATCGGGTGGGTCGTGAAATATTCGATACATTTTGTTAAAGTTTCGAGGACGATTACGTAAAGACAATTCCATGTGCAATAATTGTATCGAAAGTTTGGAATGAAAGTTTGATAGAAGAGACTTCGTTTTTTGGAATCATTCTTTCCACTTACTCTTAAAGCGGTTTTTGTGGTGAACGAAGCTTCGTGTGAAACCCATCATTTTACAATTTCGATTAATTTTTGCGCATGGAATACTTAGTAAAAGTAACCACTTAAAATTTTTGTTCAACTCCTTCTCTTTTTCTGCAACCTTTTACGACACAAAAGATTTTACAATGGCCAATAAAAAGTCCTCGATACTAAAAGTGGTATTCTTAATACCTTACTACTAAAAGGTAATTTCTTAACGTCCGTTTCAGTATCACGAAGGAAGTTTGAAAATGTTACGATGAACTCACCTGCACGACAATAATTTTCCTCCAGTCCTCGGTATTACCGTACGAATAGGCACGTTTCACCCGACGACGTTTCCGCGTAGTTAAAATATTCAACGTCAAGGCTAACCTTATAAAGGTAGATTTCCGGTTCCTTGTTAACATGGTCGTGATCCAAAGTGCACACGCAAATTAAAATCTTCGTGTTCCGCTCGCGTGGAATGCATCCGTCCAGTACACGATATAACGTGCGAGTCCGCGAACGGAAGAAAAGATCGGAGCGTACATCTTGAACGCCAGGATGTTCCGTAATCCGTGGTACAACGTGAAAAAACGGCGTTTCTGCGCGAAGAAATAATCCGATTAACGACCAATGTTGCGTTCACTTTGAAATTTTAAAAATTTGAAATTGTCTGGCTATTAATTTACATAATTAAACACTATTTTCTAACATCGTGGTTATGAAAAAGAATGTCCAGGGATCGTACAAGTAATTTTTCCGTTATTATTTCTCCCTCCATTTGGGTATGTAATTTTCCAAAGAATAAAGAATTTTATGTTTAAAAATCGTATTACTTTACT